TTATATACAAATATGACCCGATTTTCTTGAAACTTGGCACACGTCATTCTTGACTTAATTCAGTACAATATGCAAAATTTCGCGCCAATCGAAAGATATATAGGGACTTTGATGCCCCTTTTACCTTAAATCGGACGAAAATATATATGGGAGCTATATCTATATCTGGACCGATTTTCACGAAACTTAGCACACATCATTCTGGACCTATTTCAGTACCCTATGCCAAGTTTCGTGTAAATCGAAAGGTATATAGGGACTTTGGAGTCCCATATACCTTAAATCGGACGAAAATATATATGGGAGGTATATACAAACATGACCGGATTTTCTTGAAACTTGGCACACGTCTTTCTAGACTTAATTCAGTACTATATGCAAAATTTCGAGCCAATCGAAAGATATATAGGGACTTTGGTGCCCCTTTTACCTCAAATCGGACGAAACCATATATGGGAGCTACATCTAAATCTAAACCGACTTTGGCGAAACTTAACACACGTCATTTTGGGCCTAATTCAGTTCCATATGCCAAACTTCGTGCAAATCGAAAGATATATAGGGACTTTGGTACCCCTTTTACCTTAAATCGGACGAAACTATATACGGGAGCTATATCTAAATCTGACCCGATTTTCTCAAAACTTGACACACATCATTCTAGACTCAATTCAGTGCACTATGCAAAATTTCGTGCAAATCGAAAGATATATAGGGACTTTAGTGCACCATTTACATAAAATCGGACGAAACTATATACGGGAGCTATGTCTAAATCTGAACCGATTTTCAGGAAACTTGGCACACATCATTCTGGTCCTAGTTCAATACTCGATGCCAAATTTCGTGCAAATCTAAAGATAAATAGGGACTTTGGTGACTTTTTTACCTTAAGTCGGACGAAACTATATATGGGAACTATATCTAAATCTGAACCGAATTTCAATAGGGTTCGTCCTTGAGCCAAATAAGTGACTTGTGCCAAATTTCATCCCAATCAAATTGTAAATGCGATCTGTACTTTGTTTACAATTTAACATCAACAGACGGGCGGACGGACGGACATGCATAAATCGACTTAGAAAGTGATTCTATGCATATTCGCAAAAGGAACCATGTGCCTATCTCATTCCCATTTTGCCTGTTACAAATATATGCAAATAATACCCTGTACCACAGTGTGGTGAAGGGTATACAAATACACGCCTTATACAGAACAAGGAAAAACATATTTAAAAATCCACGTCTTATACAGAAAATGAAAATAATTATTTTATAAATCCACTCCTTATATAGGCCATGGAAAAAGTTTTTTAAAAAATCTATGCCTTATATAGATCATGATAGGAACCTCTATACCCAAAAAAGTTCAAAATATCCCATATATTGACCATTTCATTGGCAACGTTTTTGCCCAGTTATTTTTTTTATTCCATATTTTTTATTTACACAAATCATCGCTGCCTGTGGTAGCGATGGTGTGTCATGAACTTAACCGATCAGCAGCACTACATGACCAAAATTGCAAATATTATTATTTTTTAAATTAAATAAAGTTGTGGTATTAATTTTTGCCATTGCCATTGCTGCGGAATTTTTTTTCACGATTTCTGCTGCTGCATCATCATCAGCATAGCCGACCAATGATAACTGGAAAATTGTTTTGGTAGTTGTTTGGTTATTGGTTACGGGTATTGTTTTAAACTGCTTGTGCGATGTGGTATTTGTGTAAATATGTGAGTGGATGTGTGTGTGTGTTTGTTTGTTTTTTGATTTACAGTCGAATATATTTATAACGAACTTATTACGAATATTTTGTGTGGGCCAGGAAGAAGATATTTATGGGGAAAATATGGAAATTGTTTGTTTAAAGAATGTGTGTATGTGTGTGTGGTTGATGTAGAGATGTATGTTCGTAACTGTCTGCGTGTATTTGTTTGCCTTTTTGTTTCGTGTTTTTTTGTTGTTAAATTTTTTCAATAGGAAAATTATATGATTAAATATTTATTTTAAATTATTTCGATTTTTAATTAAATACGCCATTTGTTGTTTTTATTTTTTATTATATATGTGGTTTTATTTATTTATTTCTTTGTTTTTTTTTTAATTATGTTTATACAGTCTTATTAACTAATCGAAACTAAACTAATTTTTAACTACCAGTTATACTAAGAAGTTATAGGAGTTTTGCGTTTTTTTTAATGTCATTTTTTTTAATATTAAAAAATCTCATTTGTTTAATGAGATTTTTTTTATTTTAATAATATTTTGATGATTTGTTGCTAACTCAAAGTTTATTATTGTTTATTATTATTTTTTGCTTGTTTATATGTTTCTTTTATTATATTTTTAAATTATGTCCCATCTGGGACCTTATTATTGCGCCAATTTAATATATATCTGTCGCTCCTCTTCTTCTTCTGTAAAATTGTAAAAATTATTAAATTTCGTTTTATTCATTTTTTTTGTTTTTTTATTTGATTTTAATACACTAAATATTGTTGGGATTCATGTTTGGTTTTGTTGTTGTATATTCTATTATTAGACACATTTATAAATATTTTTTTGTCAATTTTGTTTTCGGTTTTATTGTGTGTTTTTTTTTAATAAAAATATGACATGGTTACATACGTAGATAAACATATATAAGAAAAATAATATCTATTAGAGGTCTTTGGAAAACATATTTAACAAATACAGGCCTTATATAGCTCCTGAAAAAATTATTTAAAAATCCATGCCTTATATACAGGGTGAGATAAAACAAGTGAAAAAGCGTCCGGGCCGAACTTTGGATACCCTCCACCATAAATATACTACCAGGTACTAGAAATGAAAACTAGGGAACATACGAAAAAGTGGACCTATACTACTCATTGTGGAATCTCCCACCAAGGGCTAGGCCTAAATGCGGACTATAGTTCATATATAGTTCATTATCGAAACTTACGTTCTAGTTATTTATGTCGATATCCTCCGCAGGCGCAATGATAACTATTTAAATATAAACAAGTGAAAAAGCGTTAAGTTCGGTCGGGCCGAACTTTGGATACCCTCTACCATAGACATACTGACAGGTATTAGAAATGCAAATATAGGGAACATATTCAAAAAAGTGGACCTATACCGATATGTCTAAAAACGGATTGTGTAAACCATAATGTAAACAATAATACAAATTTCAGAAATTTTTAATTGATAATACAAATTCGAAGATGGGGAATATCTTTCCACTCTTTCTGAAACCTCCACAAAGGGGCTAGATCTAACTGCGGCTATAGTTCATTATCGAACATTACGTTCTATTTTTTTATCTCGCTATCCTCCGCAGGTGAAATGATTACAACAGAGTGTTAGAACCAAACTCAAAACGTGGAACAAATCAGTTAACTATTTTTATATAAAAAAGGGGGTTATATGAGGACTATCCCAAAAAGTGGGCGAATATTAATAATTTTTGGTAGAGTGATTTGTTACCATATACGACTACAAAATACGGAATTGCAGCAAATTCGGTTGAGAAACGCGCTCAAGGACCCCAAAATACCGAAAATTGGGGGTACCCTTATATGGGGGCTATCCGAAAAATGGACCTATATTCATAATTTTTGTGGAGATATTTGGAACCTATTAAAACTCAAAATACTAAATTACAACTAATTCGGTGTAAAAATACGATAAAAAAAACCCCCCCAAAATACTGAAAATTAGGAGGTACCGTTATATGGGGGCTACCAGAAAAAGTGGACCGACATTTATAATTTTTAGTGGACATATTTGGTACCCAAAAAGAAACCAATGTACTAAATTTCAGCGAATTAGGTTGAAAAGCGCGCTCAAGAACCCCAATTCCTTCAAAAGATAGCGTGATTACAACAGGTGGACATGACTAGATCGTCTTAGAATTTTACCCTGATCAGGAATATATATAAGTTATAGGGTCGGAATGACAAAATTAATATACCCTCCATACTATGATGGAGGGTATAATAATATCTATTAGAGGTCTTTGGAAAACATATTTAATAAATCCACGCCTTATATAGCTCCTGAAAAAAAAAACATATTTAAAAAATGCCTTATACACAGGGTGAGATAAAAAAAACTGCAACAAAGTCAAAATCCATAATTTTTACATTTTTATAACCTACACAACTATGTAATCAGGGTATTATAGCTTTGTGCAGCCCCAAAAGTTTGTAACGCCGCGAAATATTGGTCCTACACCTACCTTTAAGTATAACGATAGTCACATCTCGTCTAGCTGAGTCGATCAAGATATGTGTGTCCGTCCGTTTGTCTGTCCATTATAATTTGTACACACGATACAGGCCACAGGACCAATCTTCACGAAATTGTTTTTTGGAAAGATCAGTTAATATTAAGGTGGTAAAATGGACCAAAAACTTTATTTTTGTCTGATTTTCTGGTCGCTTCAGAGGCCGCAATTATGGTCCAAACGTCGCGAATTTTTGCACGGAGAAGGGGACCAATCTTCACGAAATTTTGCATGTAGGATGGGTTCTGGCCAATGAAGACCCCTATTGTTTTTGGAAAATATCAGTTAATATTTAGGGGATGAAATGGACCAAAAACTTTATTTTTGTCTAATTTTCTGGTCGCTCCAGAGGCCGCAATTATAGTCCAAACATCGCTTGGAGAAGGGGATCGGGCCAAAGAATAAGCATGCCTGTTTTGATGAAGATCGGTCAATATTTAGCGGGTTAAATGGACCCATACTTTTGTGTGAAAAAAGACAAAATTTGTAATCTATGGCATATGTATTTAGACCCGAAAAATTGATAGTATATCCAAGAGGAGTTGTTGGCCTTTAAATTGATACCAACTATATTGTCGCATGTGCTCGGATGCGGAAGTTACACTTACATATTTAAATATTACCCATTCTTGGAATATAGATCTGCAGAAAGTTAGAGTTCCATGGTAGTTGTGTAGGGTATCATATCGTCGGCTCGGTCCGACTAGACTGCTCCGCTCACTACTTTTTTTAATTTTTTTTTGAATGAAAGCAAAAAATGTCGGAAATAGCATCACATTTTAGAATAAGTTTAGATTTGTTCGAATTGGTCACCTTTGACACGAATTATGGCCTTCAAAGGTCAATGAAACCGTCACGCACTGTCGGAATGTTGCTCTGCGGTATTTTAGCCCATTCCCGGCGAAGAGCGTGCTTGAAGTGATCGACACTTTGGTATTTTTTAGTGCCAACCTTGCTTTCCAAAATACTCCAGACGCAATAGTCCAACGTATTGGTATCCGGAGATTTTGGTAGCCATTGTGTGCTGGAAATGAAGCGAGGAACCTCATTTTGTAACAATTCTTTGGTGGTGCGTGTGGAGTGCGATGGAGCTGAGTCCAGTTGAAATGTCCAAGGTCTCCGCACAACATTTTTGCGTGCTCAAGGCTTTAATACACCCTTCAGAATATTTTCGCGATAATATTCGGCTCTTATGTTGATGACACGGTCGATTAATACGAGCGGAGTGTGACCATCGGCTGTTATGGCAGCCCACACCATCACCATGATCGGCGCATGAGTTCTGTTAGCCAATCGAAGGTCAGCTGACCTCTTTGGCAAGTAAACACGATCATTTGGTCTCGTTAGAAACTGCTGGGCAACGAATGTTTTTTCATCGGAGAAAACCAAATTCGGCATTTCGCCACTTTCGGCCAGGCGAAACAACTCTTTAAGCTCTGCTGCCAAATATACACAAATCACACTATCGCCCTTGAATTCCATCATGAATAACTTTTTTACTGGAAAATTCTCACCAAAATGTTTTTTACGCTAGTAAACAATATAATGAGCTGTCACTGGAATTATTTTAACAGCTGTCGGGTGAGTGGCTTAGAAATGGCAGCAGTATGAAGTTGGTTGCAGTCTTTTCATCTCACCCTGTATAGACCAGGGAATTGTTTTTTAATCCACGCCTTATAAAAACCTTGGTAGATATTATTTAAAAAATCCACGCTCTCTATATTTTTTAATAATTTACACCCTCTATAGGCAATGGAAAAAATAATAAAATTTTTTTTTAAAAATACACGCCAGTCCATGGAAGTAATTTTATAAAAAAACCCCTGGCCAATTTAGTCGTTGCAAAACAAAAAGTTATTTAAACTAAATTGAAATTGTTTAAATCACCGAGTTCTTTTTAAATTGTCTCCCTTCTTTTTTAACCATTTAAATCATTTGTTTTTTTTTTATAATTTCATTTGAGATTAGCTGAATATCTGCTGTTGTATTTTTGTTGTCCTTCAGTTTATTAAAACTGACATTTATCTCTTCATGCTCAGTGGGTCATACTTAATACGCTGTGTAACGAGTAATCAAACTATTTATTTAAACCCCAACAAAAAAACTATCAAAAAAAAAGCTACCATGAAATTGAAATTTTTAATAACAATTTAAGCCTTTTGCTCATTTTTGCATTACATGTCAAAAACAGCAGAGAAAATGGAGAAGAAAAAACAAATATTACCAAAATATCCTTTAAACAAATTGTAATCGATATTTATTACATTTTAGCCATGTCATATTATTGAATAAAAAATGTTACTATTTTGCAACTGGACAGTGGTTCAAAATCAACAATTTCGAAATAATTTAAAATACATATATCTTGGAATAAATATTTTTTAGAAAGCGATGCGTCATATTGTCCATGAAAGGTCCTTTTTTAACGTCGAAAAGAATCCGCTCCTTACAATTTTTTATGCTCCGCAAATTAGTCTGGAGAACCACAATTAATAAATTTTCCCTTTTAATTCGATTACAAACCAAATAAAATCAAATAAAGGATTTACCACATATGTATATAGTGATTGTGTTGTTGTTTTTTTCTGTATATATTGTACGTATATGTATTTATGTGTTTTTCATGTTTTTTCATCTTGTGTGTTTATGTATGTATATATTTTTCTTTTGTCATTGATAACGTTATTTTTTTCTGAAAACAAACAAAAAAAAAAGACTTGCATTTATTTCTGAAACACTCAATTTCGAATTACAACATGTAAAAATCATTTCATATTTAAATCCGTAGACACATCAATTATTGAATGCTGAAATAGAGAAAAAAGACAAAAAGAGAAAATTAAAAATAATGAATTATTATTGCCGTTTTTGTTGCAAAGTAATCTAAATACTAGGGTGGATCTACAAATATTAAACAAAATAAAAAAATATATTATTTAAATCAGTCCTTATAAAGCCCTTGGAAAAATGAATTAAAAATCTACGACTTATATAGCCCTTGGAAATCCAAGGAAAAAATAATTTAAACCAGTAAGGAAAGTAGTAAAGTCGGTCGGGGCCGACTATATTTTAGCCTTCACCACTTTGGTTATATTCAACAGATGGAATCCTAAAAGGCGTCTAAGAACCATTAACATGAAATTAAATATGTCATTCTACCACCTATACTATATTTTGGTCAGATATAAAGTTGCTTCTTACAATGGGACAAAATTACGAAAATATATATAAATATATTTAAAGCAAAATATCGATATCTAAACTGATTTCATCGAAACTTCTCACATGTTAGCTTACACTTATTTCAGAATGTTTTGTGCATTCGCCAACATTTTGAGTTGTTCATTTACTTATAAATCCAAATTTCGTGAAAATTGAAGGATATATAGATATTTTGGTGCATTATTTACATGAAATCGGATGAAAATATGTATGGGAGCTATATCTAAATCTCAACCGATTTTCGCGAAATTTAACACACATCGTTTCGGACTTAATTCAGAACGCTATGCCAAATTTTGTGCAAATCGAAGGATATATAGGGACTTTGGTGCATTATTTACATGAAATCGGATGTAAATATGTATGGGAGCTACATCTAAATCTGAACCGATTTTCGAGAATTTTAACACACATCGTTCCAGACTTAGTTCAGAACGCTATGCCAAATTTCGTGCAAATCGGAAGATATATAGGGACTTTGGTGGACCATTTACATAAAATCGGACGAAAATATATATGGTAGCTATATCAAAATCTGAACCGATGTTCACGAAACTTAACACACATCATTCTATACCTTATTCTGTACGCTATGCCAAATTTCGTGCAAATCGAAAGATATATAGGGACTTGTAAGCCCCATATACCTTAGATCGCACGAAAATATATATGGGAGCTACATAAAAATCTGACCCGATTTTCTCGAAACTTGGCACACTTCGTTCTAGACCTAATTTAGTACTCTATGTCAAATTTTGTGCAAATCGAAAGGTATATAGGGACTTTGGTGCACCATTTACCTTAAATCGAAACTATATATGGGTGCCATATCTGAATCTGAACCGATTTTGCTCAATTTCAATAGGGTTCGTCCTTGGGCCAAATAAATTAGCTGTGCCAAATTTCATTCAATTCGAATCAAAAATGCGACCTGTACTTTGTTTACAATTTAACATCTACAGACGGACAGATGGACGGACGGACATGCATAAATCGAATTAAAAAGTGATTCTATGCATATTCTCAAAAGGAACCATGTGTCTATCTCGTTTCCTTTTGCCTGTTACAAACATTTGCACAAAGACATAATACCCTGTACCACAGTGTGGTGAAGGGTACAAAAAATCACGCCTTATGAGGTCCTTGCAAAAAATTATTTCAAAAATCCATGTATAAAGTCCTTGGAACAAATTATTTAAAAACCAGTGAGTAGAGCAGTATAGTCGGGCGGGACCGAGCTTACGATATCCTACATAACTATCACGGAGCTCTAACTTTCTGCGGATTTTTATTCCGAACCTGGGTAATATTTCGTGATATTTGCACCCTCTTGCCCGATTAGACATCAAGAGAAACTCTTCCTTACACTGACATATTTTCCGAATATTACTAATATTCAGTACAGCCGTTATAATTAATTGTCCAGATTCACTTCACCGTGGGTTGTGTTGCGATGTTCGTCATATAATTGTGGCCGATAGATCGAGTCAAAAAACACAAAAATATTAAGTTTTCGGGCCACTTTACTCAAAATTAGTATCTGATCATCATCGAAAATTATAGGCGTTGTTCTTGATCATAGGTAGAACCTCATGGAACATTTCAAAACGATCACCGCTATATTCCCGTCCTCTAGTGTGGTAATGTTTTACTAAATAATATATGAATACGTAAGCTCCTGAAAATATTTACGTGTAACTCTCACATCCGAGTACATACGACAATGTAATTGGTATCAATTGGAAGGCCAACCACTCCTCTTGGATATACTATCAACTTCTCGGATCTATGTCCTACAGGGGTTAAACTATACGCTATAGAATATAAATTTTATAATTTTTCACACAAAAGTCACGGTCCACTTGACCCGCTAAATATTGATCGATCTTTATTAAAACAGGCCTGCTTATTCTTTGGCCCGATCCCCTTCTCCGTGTAAAATTTTGTGATGTTCGGACCATAATTGCGGCCTCTAGAGCGACCAGAAAACCCGACAAAAATTAAGTATTTGGTCTATATCATCCCCTAAATATTAACCGATCTTTACCAAAAACAATAGGGGCCAGAACCTATCCTACATGCAAAATTTCGTGAAGATATGACGATCGGTATACTTAAAGGTGGGTCTAGAACCAATATTTCGCGGCGTTACAAACTCTTGGGGCCGCACAAAGCTATAATACCCAGACAACATAGTTGTGTAGGGTATAAATACACGCCTTATCCATGCCATATATAGTCCAAAGAAAAATTCATTTAAAAAATTCACGCCTTATGTAGCCCAGAGAAAAAATATTTCAAAAAATCAACACCTTGTATAGCATATATAAAAAAGAATATCTAAAAAAATCCACGACCAATATTTACATTGGAAAAAATATATAAATATACACGCCCTATAAATCCCACGGAAAACATTTTCAAAAATCTGCTTTTCAAATTTGGTCCTTGAAAAAAGTATGTATGAAATCCTAGCCTTGGTCCTTGTGCTATATGTTGGCCTTGGAAGTTTGGCTATATCCTCACTCAATCAATTGTATATTCTTCCCATATACATAAATAATTTCCGCAAAAATAAAATATGCCCTCCAACCCATGTCCCGATGTTATAAAAAATATATAATTTATTGCATAGCTTATTTTCATTTGTTTTATAATAGCAGACAATAACTAGAATGTAACAGAACAAAAAATAAAAAAAAATAATAAATTATGAATTTTATTGAATGGCATATAAAATATGACCATACTCCTCCCATATGCCCCCCATCCCTATCTACTTACCTTTATTTGGTTATTCTAAACTCCATCTCTCTTTACGTCTTATTTACTTGGTTTGTTTGGCTGGAATGAGGGGAGGTTCCATTTTTCTCTCTCCCTAGAGAAACAAAAACGAACCCCTTTTGCGATATTCCTGTATTCATGGGGAAGGCGATATAAAAAGGACACATGGATGGTTTGGGGAATGGCTGGAGGCCAAGTTAATGGGTGATACGTTTTAGCGGTTTAACGACTTTTGCTATACAAACATTGAAGGTAAATACGTTGCTATGTGTTGGTGTGTACGCGTGTGTAAATCTGCATGAGGATGATGTCGTCGCTGACGATTATGTTGATGATATTTTTTGTTTTGTTTTGGTTTCAACTGCTGTTTCCCTTCCCTTTTCGTCATCGGTTCGCCAGGCATGGTCCTG